GCAGTAGTAGTAGTAGTAGTAGTAGTAGTAGTAGTAGTGGTAGTAGTGGTTGTAGTAGTAGTAGTAGTAGTAGCAGTAGTAGTAGTAGTAGTAGTAGTAGTAGTGGTAGTGGTAGTGGTAGTGGTAGTCGTAGTTGTTGTTGCTGTAGTAGTAGTCGTCGTGGTAGTGGTAGTCGTAGTGGCTCTGCCTGGGGGCTCGTGTTGGGGAACCGATGATGGCAAACCAGCCAGGCGCTGCACTCATGTTCCCAAAAAGGTCGAGCATGATGGTTATGTGCTCGTACTGGCCCGTTGCAGGCTCAGCTGACACCAATGGGGAATGTTTCTGCTCAGAGGTGATGCTGATGTACAACTCAGCTTCGCTTGCTGATGAACCATAAGTTTCTGCTTTCCTCGGGATAGAATTGAACAAACTCTTTTCGGGGCCTTTCAGGTTCCTACTGATCTGCTAAAAGCCAGATCCTTTTGACCACGATCACAATGATTTGGTTGAGGTGCCTGCTGACATTAGTGTCGGGGCAATGATTTCTGGCTCTGAACAGAATGCGCCGTCGGCGCCGGTTCATGCCGCCGTAGCTGGGACGCTTAGCGGACTCGTTCGCTGCGCATGAAGAAGAAGCAAGTATTAAAAGTGGTAGTCGTAGCAGTCGTCGTAGTAGTAGTAGTAGTAGTCGTCGTCGTCGTCGTCGTCGTCGTCGTGGTGGTGGGGCCGGTACTATTTGTAATGCTTATTTTGTAATACCAGTAGCACTAATACTCGTCCTATGTACTGGTACTAGCAACAAAACTAGCTATGGAATTAGCAACTGCAATAGTAAAGTAAGTGCGATAGTAATGATACCAATAGTAATACTAGTGATACTGGTAATAGTAATGGTAATCATAGATGTTCGCGAGAGTTGCAATAATAGGAATAGCCACAGGCATGGCAACAGTCATCATAATGGTAGTAGCCATAATAGTATGTGTGGTTATGACAATGATGTGGGCGATAGTATTAAGACGTGGAGCTGTTGGCCAGACGCACAATCTTGTAAATAGTGATTGTCAGGGAAAAATGAATAATATCGGATGCTAGCGTTTCCACGAGGAGCACATAAGTGCGAAAACAACAAGATCCTTGTTTGACTGATCCATTCGAGTATTCTGCTGTAGCTGTGGAAATACTATCAGATAGTAGGAGTGGCAATCGTAGTAGCAATACTTCTGGGTAATAGCGACTGTACTGATTCCTCATAACAGTATCCGTAACAGTAATGGAAATACGAAGCAGTGTGACAATACAGTGCCCGACCCGACAACGGCCTCGGCTTGCTTGTTCCCCGTCCTCTTGATCATCGCCAGCTCGTCGCTAGCCTGGGGCAGCTTTGTTGGGCCATGCATTAAACGTGTACGGTTTAGGGTTTAGGGTTTAGGGCCCCAAAATACAAAGCATTGCTGTAACCCGAATATTCGACTAGTAAACCCTGAACCCCTCATTTTACAGTAGTCTCCAGTATGGTGCCCTCATAGCAATCCGAATGTTAGAGCAACCCTATATATCAGCACTGGCCACTGATACGAATAGCCTAGGCCCTGGAAACTCCCAAGATCCTCAACCCCCGATTTCGGGACCTTCATCATTGGAATAGGGCTTTGGGGTAAACTTTATAGTGCCAGTATCAACAAAAGATGTAGGGACTTAGAGGGTAATATTGCGCCTGAGAGCTTTCGAAACGCTTAGGGCTGGAGGGGAATGCCGCTGAGCTGCGGCCATCATGGCGTCGAAACTTCGCTCCATGGCCATACTGGCCTCCACGACCTTTGGGTCAAGCAGATTTGCATATTGCTACCATTTTTGTTGATTTTGTTGGTACCGCTTTCTATGCTTATCATGGTTATTATGTCTGCGACTGTTTTTGTTATTTCATTACTACTACCTTTGATTTTATTTGTATTTACCTCCGTTCAGTGAAGGGTTTAAAGTTTTTGTTTCGGGTTTAGGGTTCTAGCCTCTCCCGACACTCGTGCAAAGGCCCTTACCAGAACACAAGAGCTGCATTTGCCGCAGTTTAGGGTTTAGGGCTTAGGGTCACTTACGCGGAACCCTCGCAGCCGAAAATACACAGCACCGGTAGGTACTGAGATGGTCGCCCCAATCTGGCAGCGAGTCGTTTGGTTTATCGCTTATACACTGGACTCAGGCAGGCACAACCTTCAGCGCAGACACCTGGCACAAGAAGGGGGCGTGTGCCCAGAGACTCCAATGTCCCTTAATTAAGGAATATACCTTAAATTATAGTAGGATCCTTAATATGATTTAAGGTATATTCCTTGGAATATACCTTAAATTATAGTAGGATCCTTAATATGATTTAAGGTATATTCCTTAATTAAGGGATATTGGAGTCTCTGGGGGGAAGTAAGCCTTCGCTCTTCGCTCTGACTCGTCGACCTCGGCACCCGGCTAAGACCCGAAGCCCCAAACCCAAGGCCCCAAAACTACCAAAACCCCATGAAGCCCTAAACCCTAAACAGAGAACCCTACTCCCCTACTCCCCTAAACCCTAAACCCTAAACCCTAAACAGAGAGCCCTACTCCCCTTGGAGCAGCTTCTCCGGCTTCTAAGGCGCTCCGAAAGCTGTGCCTTCTTCGCCGACTCTCCCGCACGGCGGAAGGAGACCAAAGCATCCTCGAAGGGATCACGCAGAGGGCTCGGTAGTATGATCGAAACACTTCGAAGACAAATAAAGGAAGGCCGCTATAAATAGTCATTACTCATGTTAGTCGTCGTAGTTGTAGTAATTGTAGTTGTTGTTGCTGTTGTTGTAATGTTGTTAATGATCATGGCAGGTAGAAACGTCTGAGCTTTCGGGGAATGCTCCCGACTCGGACCCTCCCAACGAGCCTTTGCCAACGCCAAAGCCTCGGAGGCCTGTCGACAAAAAGATCGCGGGTTTAGGGTCAAGGTAGGGTTTAGGGTTTAGGGTTTAGGGTTTAGGGTTCAAGGGTAGTTAGAGAGTATGACACCTGTTGATCAAAAGCTCTGTTTTCAGTCCTCGACCCCGGCCCTAGGCCCTGAAAAAGGACACGGTCTCGTATTGGGCTACGACTCCAGCTACAGCGTTTAGGGTTTAGGGTTTTTTTTTTTGAACACCTTTTTCCTCCTGTCAGAGCATCTTCCAGTCGGAATCCGCATTGCGGAAGGCTGTTACATGGCACCCTCAGACAACAGGGTTTAGACTTTAGGGTTTAGGGTTTCGAGCTTTCAGGGTTTAGGGCTTCGGGAAGCCTTGCTCGACCCTTGTCCATACTCCCTCCCCCTTCCCCCGGGCTTCCCAAACAGATCCGGCGCCCTAGGGCCTTGCTCTTGTAGAGCATGCGCTGCTGATAGCTCACCCTCGGCGGCCAAGGAGATTCAAGAAAACCGTTGAAGTCTGCACTTCCGCGTCGACCCTCGGCGAAGAGAAGTGAAACGTAGGCCCGGAACATCTGCGCTTTCGGCGCATCGTAGCCGATGAGGAAATCGGACCTGAGGCCATGAGCGGAGGTGGCGCCTGTCTCCTGACAGACTTTGTTAAAGGAAACTACAGGTGGGGAGTTTAGGGTATATAGGGCTTCTATAAGGCTTCCATAAGGTATATAGACCTTCTAGAAAAGCTCCTACACCCACCTGAAAATGTCCTAGACTTTGGGGTTTGACGGTGATCAAGCCTAACACTTCAACGCCTGAACCACCAATCCTAAATCCCCAAGCCCCGAACCCTAAAATCCCAATAAACAGCCACCATGAGAAGCCGCTAAACCCCAAACCCTCGGCCCCTAAACATATAAAGGTCCCATGCTTTCACAAAAAAACCCTCGAAAGCTCTGTGTTGTTTAGACTTGCAGAGCTGATTAGAGCCCGGACTTTCACAGCTTCAGGGCTTTAGGGTCAGGCCTCCGGGTTTCAAAGGTTCAGCGCTTAGGACCTAGGCCTAGGCTTCAGGGTTTAGGGTTTAGGGTTCGAGGCTTGAATCTAGCATTTCAGTTCTTCGGCGTTCGGTTTTGTCCTGCTTGAGGACTTCGAGTTTATAGGGTTAGGCCAGGCTATAGGATTTTGGGTCAATATGGGGGCCTTAATTATTAGAATAGGGGTTGAGGGCCCGTTATGCCATAACTATAATGAGGAACCCCCCCAAAATAGTATGGGTAATTGTTAAGGCCCCTATATTACAGCTTCAGAGTTTCAAGCTCTGTCATGCTATAATTATAATAAGGAACCCCCTTGAATAGTATGGGTAATAATGAAGGCCCTATCTTACAGCTTCAGGGTTTCACTGCATGTCAAGCTCCCTCTGGGGTGCAGGCGTGGTCGGAGTCTCGGGGAACATCGCCTGCACGTCACAAGCGTGTCCAAGGACTTGGTACCAGGTTCAAGTGGAAGGTTTAGGGCTGAGGGTTTAGAGTTTAGGGTTGAGGGCTTAGGGTTGAGGGTTTAGGGTTTAGGGTCTAGGGTTTAGGGTTTAGGGTTTCGGGTTGAGGGTTGACGGTTAGAGTGTACAGTGCAGAAGTTCGGGTTCAGGTTCAGGGCACAGGGGAACTGGTGAGCTGAAGCTAGCCCTCCACAAACCTTACACCTCGAAACCCTGAAACCATCCCACCCAAGCCATGATTAAAAACGCTATGAAACCCCCATAAACTCCAACAGCTCTTCCCTGCATTATTTAAAGCCTCCCGTAAAACCTTTCAACACCTGTCAGACCCCATCAAAGCCTACAAAGCCCCAAAGACGGAGTGCCTTGGCGTCCGCCATGATGGACTCTGCAGACATGAGCGCGGCATCCGCCATGTTCGGCCTCACAGAATGGGGTTGCTTTGAAGGTTCGTGAAGAGCTTTGAGCCCTGGTCTCAATAGGGCCTTCAATAATTAGAATAAGACTTTGGTGCTACATCATGTTCCATCATGGTCTAATTATATACACAAACTATCACAAAACATACTCGTCCTCCATTCGATCCGACGGCTTGATTAAGCTTCAGCGGTTTAGGTTTTCGCCTGTTTTTGGGCGTCGGTTGGGATTCGGGTTTGGGACAGAACTTCGGGTGGGGACCGGGTTGGGATGTCATTCTGGATTTTGTCTTGCGATATCCTGCTGGCAACAGACCAACTTTGCTTCCATACCACTCTCTCCAAAACCAACCGAACCAAACCCCAGAAGTGCAGCAAAGTACAGCACTTGAGAGACATGAGAACCTAGCAGTGCAGGAACTCCGCCGTGACCCGATGTCCCAACAGTCCCAACATCTTCAATGCCACCGAACCCCTTTGCAAGAACCGTGCGACACCCCAAAGCCGCCACCTCACGCCCGCACAGAAGGCGGGAGGGGGCGGCGCAAAATCCTTTGACTGCCGCGGCGGCTGCAGCGTGTAACTTACTGCGAGTTGCCCCTAGGTTGGGAATCAAGCTGCAGCAGCCATTGTTCCGTTCTTCAACCGTTCTTCAACCGGGCACGACAAGGCCAACTGCTGGCGCATAGGATTCCTTGCCCCTAGTAAATGAGTGAAGTCGACACGAACAATGCTCCATTCCTTGCCGGACTCCTCGCCACTTTCTGAAGTCAAATTACCACAGAAACTCCGTTGGATATCTTGTAGCTATAGCTGATGACCACGCTCATTAGTTTCACAGGACAGAAAGACACAAAATGGCCCGGGCGTGCTGGCATAAATTGGAAGATGTGAGGCGGCGACCTCGGGTTTCGCGAGCTGGCAAATAGTCGCTCGGGAGACGGCAGAACTTTTGCAAAACCCACTTCAGTATTGACATCCACCACAACGCTGAGTGATTCCATTGCCCGCAGCACGAACTGGACGGTAACATCATATATAGGAGAATACGCACACAGAGAGAGAGAGAGAGAGATATATATATATATATATGGTCGCCCCGCTAGGAGCTTTTGGCCATGCAGCTGTTCATGTGGGTCCTGTTCTGTTGCGAAAGGAAGCCGAAACCCTTGTAAATATTGCACAACTTTGTGCGTGTGTGCTTGTGTTGCCGTTGTCTGCAGTGTATACGTGTCATACTACAGCATTGAAAAATTTCCGGGCTCCGTAGCTCTGTCCCGCCCTGCTCTCCACTATCAATTGCAGTGACATCGATAGAAAAGGTCAAGTGCTTCTGCAAGATCATTCGGGCATGATACAGTCCATGTTCCCATCAGCGCTTGGATGGCGGAGGAGAAAGCGGCAAACTGATTTCGTCCAGGAGCCCGACGCGGAAATGCTAACAGACACCGTCCCAATTTGTGCCGAGTGCCATGACAAGCTGTGACACGCTTCGATAGCCTGATCCCGACACTAGCTTGTGTATGCACTGGCACAGGACGCAAAGTCCTTGTGCGCATAGCGAACACCGAAACTGCCAAGCACGGTCGTTGCTGACCAATGACAGAGAGCATGGAACGAAGCGCCATAGATCGGGATCTTCGAGCACTCTGCCAACGTGACACAACATAAACTCTCGGAACGCAAGGTTCTCGACTGAGTTTTTGCGGTCGGACTCGTGACGAACCTCCATGTCTACGCTGATCCCGCTAATCGTCCCACCAACTGTTCTGAATCGAGTGGAGTCATGAGCAATAGGATGCTTTGAGCAGTTGTCGAGGGCGCCGAGGACGCGGGACAGCTCGGCCTTCACTTCGCTCGCCTCCTCCTTCGCGAGGTCCTTCACGCCTAAACCCTAAACCCTAAACCCTAAACCCGTGGGTTTAGGGTTTAGGGTTTAGGGTTTAGGGTTTAGGGTTTAGGGGCCCGTCCACGTGCTGAACCAGGCGCTCGGCGGATTGGCGGATGTCCTCTGCCTGGGACGCGGCTTTGGGCTCCACCGACCCGATCACGCGGTCGGCCTCCGCGGTTACGCGCCGGCGAGCTTCGATGTCCCAGCTAGCTCCCAGGAGCCCATGATGATGCTTCTGTGAAGCTTTGCTAAGCTAACCGGGATGGCCAAGCCACGTGTGTTGACGGAACTGTCCATAACCCAACCATGATAAGGTCTCCTTCGACCGTATCCAAAAACAAGCTCATCTACAACCAACCATGACCTCGTCCATTCCAACCACATCCGCCCAACGGAACCGACCACATCTGCTGACCCCGTTTTTTGTCAATGACACTCAAAACTTCTGGTGGCGTTGTGCGATGCATATTGGCAGTACCAGCAATAACTTTGCAGTAGGTGGAGCCACTATGAAAAGCCAAAAAACATTCATTTTGGTGTTTTACATGGTGCCGGCCTTGGTCTTGTTGTAAAAATGCGATTTCGGTGATGTCAGGAGCACAAACTTACTTGCAAAGATGATTTTGCCATGGCTTCGCAAAACCTCAGCTTTGACCCTCAAAGCTAAATCCCGAAAACGCATTCTGGAAAGGGTGAGCCCCTCCAAAACGGTCTTGATTCCGAAACTTCTGAGAACAGTATGGAGCATCGGGTGCCCAGAGGTATCATAACATATGCGTGGCGGATTCGGAAGGCCTAGACGCCTAAAGAAGCTATGACGCTTCCGAAACCACTTCTAGTCAGTTCTAGTCTCACACCGATCTTGGCAACGAGTCTGCCAGTGCCGCTGGTCTCTGCGGAGGCATCACCTTAATCCCGAAGACCGTGAGAATCTTACAAAAACTTTTGCTTAGGGTCTCTGGGTTTCCTGAACTGCAAAGCCCGACAACACACACACACACACACACACACACGAGCTGGGCAACCTTTCGCCAGGAGCGCTCTTCACTCAATGTGACGGGGCATGCACTGGGGTGAGGAGGGGTTCGCATTCTCCGTGACATGCAGGCAGCAGGAGGCGTTCATGCAGCTACTTGTTGCGATGTCCGGCTCCTCCAGAAAGCATCGGTTGGAGCCCCCTGCTGGGAAAACTAAGTCTTTTTGACTGGTGTGAAACATGCGGCGAGGGCCGTATGCCAGACTGACCTGCTCGAAAACCCTATAGACGAGTCTATCGAAAACGGAGAGGGGACTCCTTCTCAACCTGTGAAACTTCGCAGCGTTTTCTGAGATCGCTGGAGCACGTCCTGGGCAAGTAGAACCTGCAGCGGGTGTCAATCGCCGTGCAGCTGCATGGAGTTGCCGTGCCCGGTCTATGGTTAAGGAAACTACAGGTGGGGAGTTTAGGGTATATAGGGCTTCTCTAAGGCTTCTTTAAGGTATGTAGACCTTCTATAAGGCTCCTATAACGGTAACTACGCACCTAAAACTATGTAGTACACTGTAGTATACTAATAGAATGCAAAATAGATCCTGAAAAACGGTATTAAAAAATTGTACAAGGTCATATAACATAGCGAAAACATCTACCCCAGTAGAATATAATATGATACAGTGCAATATAATGTGGTATGATACGATATGATCAGATATGATATGCAATGGAATCGAACGTAGCCGCATAGCATATACCATAGTATAACATAATTATATTGTAGAGTTGAAGTGAGTAGAATAAATACAACAACAGAATAGAACAGAAAACAACAACAAAAGTACAATAATACAACAGATCGTAATGTAATGTGAAATACAACTGATACAGCATAATAGACTGGCATACATTACGCACTTATATGTATAGCCAAACTAAAAACAAATATGAATACAGTTCTAAATATAATACATGACATAAACATACACATAACTGTAGCTACAACATGCAAGAAATCTAGTATCACTATGCAACATGATATATAACCTCATACAGTATGGTAAAATATCACATCAGAATCAAAACAAAACACAAGATTGTATGATATGACATAGTTTAACAACACAACACAACACAACACATTGCAATACACCGCAATACAACATAAGATAATAGGATATAGTATATAGTGCGATACAACCTCATTCAACAGAACTCAATATGATGGTATGTTGTGAGAAATATGTGAGTTTTAGGGCCTAGGGGACAGCAGCAGATGTGTCTGCTATGCAATGTTCTGAATGTTCTGAGCTACAAACCATGCATGATCCACAACCCCCTCTGCAAAGAACCTACGGCCCTGAACCCTCAGCCCCAGACCCGAAAGCATCTCAAAGCCCGAACCCCATACTAAAACCCTCAACGCTCTAGGCGCCATACCCCCAACACCCATCTCCAAACCCTGGCTCAAAGATTCCGGGAGAGCGCCTAAACCCTAAACCCTAAACCCTAAATCCTAAACCCTAAACCCTAAACCCTAAACCCTAAACCCTAAACCCTAAACCCCAAACCCCAAACCCTAAACCCTAAACCGCGCCTTGCCCTGCTCCTTCTTCTTGCGCCAACGCGCGACGCAGGCTTCGAAGGACTCCTACAAAGGCGGCGAGGGCGAGGGAGCCAGAGCTGGGATGCAGATATGATGGTATCAGTAGCATTCCTTGGGGTTTAAGCTTGTTGTTGGTTTAGGGCTTGGGGTTTAGGGTTTAGGGTTTAGGGGGGGTTAGGGTGTAGAGTTTAGGGCTCAGGGATGCTAGCCTTGTAGTGGTGTTCTTCCGTTTGGTTCCGCTCGGTTAGTGTTTACGGGTACTATCTTAGAGGTAGTACTGCTTAGGCTTAGGGTTCCCACTCAAAACCCTCAACTCTAAGCCGAACCCCAACCCCTAAGCCCTAAAGCACAAGAGCGACCCGGCCTTGAAGATGCCGCCCAGGTCTACACCCAACCGGTAGAGCGCCTCGGGGCCGTAAATACTGGAGTGCTGTAGTGGTAGCATCAGCACTAGCAGTAGGAGAAAGGAGCAGCAGTAGTAAGAGTGGGAGAAGGAGAAAAGAGTAGGCGAATAGCAGCCAGCAGATAGTAGTAGTAGTCGTCGTCGTCGTCGTAGTGGTAGTAGTAGTAGAAGTAGTAGTAGTAGTAGTAGTAGTAGTAGTAGTAATAATAATAGCAATAGAAGCTGTCGTCGTTGTAGTAGCAGTAGTAGTAGTAGTAGTAGTAGTAGTAGTAGGAGTGGTAGCAGCAGTAGTGGCAGCAAAGATCTCACTCTCATGGCACACTGTGCTGTGCCATCCCACAGAACTGCTCTCCACTTCTGAGAAACCCAATGCGGGAGCCGGGCGTAGGCGGCATTCCAGCGCTGGCACTCAGAGCTCTGCGCCAGCACCCTTGACACCTCCCAGGTATGGTAGGCTTGGGGTTGAAGCACTTGAAGCCCAAAACGCTTGAAACCTGAACCCTGACAGAGTTTCGCGTTTGAGGCTTTCGATTTGGAGCTGAGGGTTTAGAGCCACGAAACCCCGTTCGTGAATGTGCAGAACCTGGCGATTCTAGAAACTAAGCTGGCCCCCCTCGCAAACCCTCAACCCTAATACCTACATCCGGGTCCATGAAAAACCCAGAGAGACCCTAAATCCCGAAACCGTAGCCAAGCCCCTAAACCTTGAGACACTCCTGCATGAGCCCCAAAGCTCGTTCAAGGCCTACGCAAGTGGTCTTCGCAAGGGGTCTTCAAAAGCTGCAAAGAAAACTGCAGGAAAAGGCCCGAAACAAGTCAGTTGCTGAACGGCTCATTCAGATCACCGCTCCCCTCTCGGCGCATGCTTATTTGTTGGGTAAGGGGGTAGGCGAGCTATGGCGTTAAAGTCCCGCCCCCCAAAGCCACACTTCTGGGCATTTCGCTCGCTCTCTCAAACCTTCAACTCCTAACCCTAGACTCCCATCCTCAACCCTAAATACTACATAACCCCAAACCCTATACCCTAAACCCCAAAGCCCTGAACCCCAACCCGCCGACAAGGAAGACGAGCCTCTGCGGCAGCTGATGTCTTCGGCTCGGCGCCTGCACCGCGAAGCGTGAGCTCGGCTTCACGCCGGCGAAGGGCGAAGGGTTCCTGTAAGGATGCTCTAAAGGGCTACAGTACTTTGTGGACTCTTTACTATAGGGGGGACGGAGTAAAAATATACTCGAACACCCTTTTATTTTCTGAGTGTCAAGGCGCCTTTTGTTACTGCAGCGATCAGGAAAGCATCGGCTCTCCGGCATCCCCTCAACCTCCCATCCTCCCTCCAGAATCCAGCCTGGCGACAGGAGCGCCTCGTCCCAACCTGCTTGTGGCGATGGGAGCAAGTGGAGAATGACAGGAGCACAGAGTGGGTTTGAGACATCTTCGACCTAACCCTAACCCCTCAGATACCTATTATATAGCGTACTAGAGGTCCTAGGGCCCTATATAGTAGGTACCTGGAGCGTTCCGGCACTGGAACTGCCTTTGCCCTGCTCTCCCACAGGCCTAGTGCCAGATCCTTGCCAGACTCCTGCAAAGGGATCGCCACAAGAGTAGCTTAGAGTGCACCATAAGGGGTAACGTAAGGGGCTTCTATAAAGGTTTCGACAGAGTCAACGGCGTCTAAGGGTGTTGTTGAACGTTTCTAGAAGTCGAAGGCTCTGCGACTCAAGACGTATGGAACTCAGGAACCCCCAACCCTAAACCAAAAACCCTATACGGCACTAGAGTTACGCAGCTAGCACACGGACCAGGAGGAGAGAGCTATCATGGGTAAGAAGTATCCTGGCGCCTGTGCTATGCCTTCATTCAGGAAGAGGGCCCGGGAGAAGCCTGCTCCGCAGAACTTCCCCGCAAGACTCTTGCAGAAACTCCTTCTCGCACCCCCCCCCCCCCGCTCGGAGTGCAGACCCCCCCCCCCTTTAAAGAAAGCCCCCAGAAAGAAAAAAGCCCCTGGGATTCTGGCACTATAGGGGTTTAGGGTTGAGCGTTTATGTCGCAGTTTAGGGTTGAGGGCTTAGGGGTTTAAGNNGGGGGGGGGGGGGGGGGGGGCCTAGAGTCGCCGGGGGCTCCTCCAGGCTGGCCGGCGCGGATTTCGCCTGGACACTCCCAGGAAATGAGATAGACCCCCTTAGTAACTTAAGATAGGATGGGGCTGTGGGGCTCCTTTATGGTATCAATATATAATCAGGAACCTAATGAAAATTTCTTGGTAACTATTTTAGGCTTCTATGTTCATGCGCTGGTTTGGGGTTCAGAGCTCCGGGGTCTTCGGGTCTTGTTCGGGTTGCGGTAAGGACTCTGCAGGGCCCTCGCCCCTCGAAAGGAGCGCTCAGGGCTCTGAGGGCTCCAGGGTCGCAAGGAAGGACGACAGCACTCGGCGAGACTCGGATGCCGCCCATAGATGGGAGTTTCCGAAAATTTGGGGGG